GAGCAATTGTTTAGGTAGGCTAATGCCAGTGGTAATCCGCCAAACATGTTTGTGTCTTCAACTTTTTCAGGGAATGCTCGCAGCACTACAGTAATTGTGAGACAGCCTAACATTAAGCCAAAGGAAGGACTCTTGTCGAGTTCTTTCAATTTTTTTCAGGGAGTGTAGGTAAAGGTTTTTGAACAGCATATCGGATATCGCGGCGTTTCCACCAAACGTGTAGAAAAGGGCGCAACAGCAGTTATCGAAAAAATTGAAAGCTTCAGCCGCTAGTGATTCTACTCTCTAAGCCATTGTCCGAGAATGTTTTCATGGGAATTATTCCGGCGGCGGACAACATGTCTGTGATTCTTCTAGTGGGAATGTCATTACTCACCATATCGATGCTTGGGGGCGGAAGTGGTGTAGTGGCAAGTGGCACGCTTACCACGCGAGCGGTCCGGGGATCAAATCCTGGGTCGTGAGTCGCCCGGGCCAACCAAGCCTTCCATCCCTCCGGGGTCGGTTAATTGGTACCAGACTTGTCTGGGAGGATAAAAACACTGACTTGTACATCGGCTGGCCCCCGCAAGTCATTGTATAGGCCACATCGCATTCAAACGCCACTACGAATGTACAAATGGAAGTAGAATGCGTGCCGCATCCCAAAAAGGGATTGATCAACGGCAAATGCTTTATCCTTTATCCTTTTACCCAGTTGGCGCCGCACGCATTGCGCGCGCAACACAGATCTGCGGCGAATTTTGATGGTGCGACGAAAATTTTCAAATTTGGCTTGATACACTACGAATATCTGAATTCTCAGCTAAATTCTATCCGCTCCATCATCGACGGCTTTCAACCTTTTTTCTTCGTCAACCATTATCCTCTTTTTCTCGGTCTCCGGACTGCTTCCGGACAATAAATCTCGTGGCAAACTCCGCCTACTTCGGTGCGTGCCCGCCCACCAATAGCATTTGGCCCCCTTCCTTTCGCCGACCTCTACCCCTTTTTTCACCGGTCTCTGGGACCTCTTGGAAGCAGCTGATCTCTTTTCCCTCGCCAACCTCTAACCCCGTTTTCCCTATCTCTAGGACTTCTTGGAGCCGAGTTATGAATTTTCGTCGCAAACTCCGCCCACTTTGGTCAAGCCCCGCCCACCGATGACAGCTGGCCTCCACTCCTCCACCCACCTCTATCCACCTTTTTCCGGCTCTTTAAGACTTCCCCGGCCCGAATTATGAGGACTTGTAGAAAATGCTGTACACTTCAGAGCGCGCTCCGCCCATTGTGGGCGGGCCTCCGCCCACGTCATGTATGCTGGGAAACACCTTAGACATTGCTCCCCTACACCAATTTGTTTTCTGCTCTGTAGGCTTTCTCCCAACCGAGTTATGAAATTTTTCATAAAAGCACTGCTTTTTTGGAGAACGCCCCGCCCACCGGGGGTGGGTCTCCCTAATTCGATGTGACTTACCAATGCACACCTTTACCCACTTTTTGGCCCAGTTTCAAGGTCGTTTTCTAAGAGAATTAAAATCTCGGTCGTCAGTACACTTCATGTCGACGCACGCCACGCCCACTGTGGGCGGGGCTCCGCTTAGCTGATGTGTGTTTTGTACTTCGTGAGACCTTGCCCACCCATCCCACACTTGACCCGGTCCCTCCAGGCGGATCCCGAGGAGCTAGGGAATTTCGTGACAGACATACAGAACGACAGACAGACGACAGACGAAGCGCTTTATAGTAAGTAGGATGCTTGGGTTCGTAAGCATAAGGAACCAACTATAAAACAAAACTGTGTGAAAGTGTCGCAAGAATTTTTCTCTAACCCGAAATTTTGAGAGCTTAGAGCTTCAAAATTTTCCGCAGTTTGATCCTCTAGTTCAAAATGTTCATGAATGTTTTCGGGATCAAACGAAAAGTTGAGAGTACTTCCGTTCAGAACTGTTCTAGTCAGGCTCGATGAAGGGCAGATGTTAAAACATTATGCTGTGCCGATGTTGGAAGGCAATAGCACTCCAAGAAAACCTTGAGGCATTTTCAACAAAAGAATTCAGCAGCTAATATCGATTTATTGCTATAGTACATACATTTCATACGACATTGCAGAGACCTTCTGCGACATTACATGTGTAGGATCCAGGACAACCAGCATCCGATGTGCACGGATTTCCGATGGTGTAGATCAGTCTGTTCAGATAGTTGCCTCTGAATATTTTTACTTTCAACAAATATGGAATATACATGTACAAAGAGCATCTCAAAAGCGCATATTACAAGCTAAATGGACGAAGCCAAGTAGAAAGCACACGTGTTTACTTGAAAAGTTGCGCATAGGTGATGCGATTTTTTGTACAAAAGAATATACTTACGCAGGGCCGTATTGGCAAACAGCGTACGTGAAAGTGGAACAATGGACAACAGCACATCCTAGCCGATAGGAGGTTTCCCAAGCCATCTGGAAATTTTTATATTAATTTTGTTGTTGAACCGAGAAAGAATTAATTCGTAGATGACCATGAGACTTACCTGAGTATAATGACCAATTTGGGTGTTTGGGCGATTCCACAAGGCCAAGGTCAGATTGTTTGACGGACCAACACCATATTGTTTCAGTTCGTTCCACCACAATTGAGATGACTGGAAATCATAATCAGTATTGCAACAATCAAGGTCATCAATTCCAGCGACACACAAAATATAGAACTAACTAGCCAAGTATGGCTGTGTTTCTGTATGTGTGTGGATGTGTGTGTGTGTCCAACCGTTTATTAGGGAGAACTGCGATGAGAGAAGCTGAGGCTGGTGTCAGAGTCCGCGATCCGTCGCAGGTTTCGCTGATTTTCGCGATTTGCGCGAAACCTGCGACGGATCGCAAAAATTGCAAGTGCCCCATTTGAACATTTGAAACACTGAATATGAAACAAGTGGAATCATGAGCAGTCGTCATTCAGCCATCACTATCAAGCAGAAGTGGCGGCAGGATTGGAGAACACCTTGCAGTATTGATCGGGCACTTGTGATTTCCGTGACCCGTCGCGTGAATCGCGCAAATCGCGAAAATCAGCGAAACCTGCGACGGATCGCGGACTCTGACACCAGCCTAACGCGGGCAAAGCTATTCGAGGGTGCAGTTCAGTGCGAGAGAGCAAGCGCCAAACAGTGAGGGAAAGCATGCGATAAGAAAGAACCACCACTGCGAGCGTTAGGTCAAGGTAATGTCTGTGTATAGCGAGGCGGTGTTGTCTGGTATAATCAAGTCTCGGATTGTGAGAGGAGAAGGTCTTAGTTAATTGTACGTTCCTCCATAAGACCAATTCAAAAAAGTGAAACCTTCATCAACGAAATAACTAAACTATGAAAAGGTTCCTTCTTCAGATCCTTTGATTCAGCAATCACGGTCAGTACGTGCTTGATATAACGGAAAGGCCTGTTCAAATGGCCCTCGACTAGCCTTACTTGTCGTTGTTCAGGCCAAATGCGCGCTCAACTATCCAGCCAAAGGGATTATATCGAACTTATCTATCAACGCGGAACACTTTCCTTCTCAATCTTTTCGTTAAAGACAGGCCCCAGGATTGTAATGGTGTAATTAATGATGTAATGATGTAATGTGACCCTTTGCACAAATATGAGGGTAGGGGGGTTGCCGGCAATAAAGAAAAAGGAGGAGGAATTCGTCGCAAACGCTCAGCTTAAGAGCATGCTCATCTCCGTGATGCGGCTGAGCTAAGGTAATGGAGACTGAGCGTGGAGAGGAGAGTGAGGCAAGAGAGCGCAACAAGTCAGAGGGCACAAGATAACAGCCTGCTGCACACTGGGGACTTGAAAGCTGCTACAGCTTACTTTGCAGAGCACTAGCGCCCTTGCCGCATAATTTCCATGCTAGAGAGTGCCACATCTGTGATTTTTCTAGGGGTTCATCCTACAAGTGCAAGGAAATCGTTCACACAACTTCTGCATGGGTAGTGCTTTTAAACTCGCAAGTAGAGAGCAGCAGTGATTGTTGTGGCAAGGTGCCAGTATTTATTTCAGAATTCGTCTCAAGGAGGGAAATGCCTCTCAAGTAAATCACAGATCTTTCCAGCTGGAAGTAAAAGGGATACCTGTGTTGCAGCTTTGACTTTATCGAAGTTTAGCGCAGATGTCATGTAAAGGTTTTCGCCGAGGCCTGGTCGTTCACTGTTAGTAGAATGCTGGTAGACACATTTGGAGGCGTGCTTCAATGCTGAGGCCTCCACGGAACAATCGTAGACCTTAATAAAGTAAACAACGCCTTTTTTGAATTGGTGAGATAAAAAAGGGTACCAACCAGTGTTCATCACATTTGTTTGTCTAAAAATGAAGCGCACTCACCATTTTCAACATTTTTGCTGCCTTAGGTGCGTTTCCTCCAAGTGCATCAGGCTCAAGTCCGCGTGCAACACTTGACCTGTAGAAAAGCGCAACTGGATTTCGAAGCAAATAGCTTGCAAACGAAAAGTGCCAGCTCTCAGGAAGTTATAGAATGTCTCAAAGGCTTATGCCATTTTTTGCACCGGTGAGAGGACCGATTGAGCAGAAATTTCTGCTTTGATTAAGACAAGCTCCTCCACAACCTCGTTCTGGGCAGCGAAAATTCGCTATCTCTGGTTGCTTATCTGTTACCGGGCTTTGAGAGGAAGAGGGCTGTGGGGGGAATGTTGCCGCTCTCTTTTGGGTGTAACTGCAGTAGCATTACATGCACTGCTTGCAGTTTTCCTACAACACTCAGGTCTTACGAAAGGCGGGACTTCAAAAGTGCCTTGAACTGCGTGAACTCTTGCATTATTGAAATGTTACAATGAAAGCACTTTCTCACCTGTAGGCATTGTGCAGATCGAGGAACTTTTGTCGCACCGAATCGGTCATTCCTGAGTTTGCTGAGCAGTTGTTGTTGGTCTCTAAATTTGTAAGTTGAGACAGGCAGGAATGACGATGGCTGGAAGATGTTACAGTTTTGTTGCGTCGTTGAGCATTGTTGGAAGAGGCGCATTGAGAGGTTTCCAACCATACCCCAATCATCCTGAGAGGCTTAGTCTACCACGGATGTTCGCTGACGTAATCAAAATCGCACCGCCCTCCAGCGACCGTGATCATTGCTTTTAATCTAACCAGTTTTGCTCCGCCCGCTATCGCGCGCATCACAGGGTAGGGAGGAACCACGGAATAGCAGCATGACGTACTCCATTAACCACCTCACTATTGAATGTGTTATACCTCCTTATACCCCTTCTCTCCGGCGCATGGCAGCACCATGTTCTCCCTCCCTTTCTCCTCTCCCCCTCCCTTCCCTCCCCTCTCTCTCTCCCCCTCCCCCTCCTTATACCCTTCTCCGGCGCATGGCAGCGCCATGTTCTCCCTCCCTTTCTCCTCTCCCCTTCCCTCCCTCTTTCTCTCTCCCCCTCCCTTCCAGCCTCCCCTTTCTTGCCCCCTTCCCTCTACCCCCCCCTCCCCCCCGCTCATCCGGCTGCCACGGCAGCACCATGTAGAATGACTGAGTGTGCTCGATCGGTGTTTATATAGCCGCTGTGGGTGTTATCATGATCATGACATCAACATCACGAAGTGTTGCCCTTCGTACTCCCTGGTTTTGTGAGCGGTCGGTCCGGACGGACAGAACGACACACACCGACAAACCGACACACCAAAGTTCTGGTTTATATAATGAAGTGATAAAATAATCTCAGTTCGAATAGTCCCGTCAAAATCCTTATAACCCTAGACAAACACGTATCAAGTAGGAGGAGTGGAACCAAATCTATGAGCAGTCGTATCTGGACACTCCCCATCTCCTCGTTCTCCTTAAGGGGCTCTAAACGGGGAGAATGAGCATCCTAAATCTGCTCTTTTGCAGAATAGAAGTCGACTCCTAATCCCATTATTCATCAGATACTGTTGTCACCAGCATACACAAATTTTGAAGATTCTGGCTAATCTCCCTCCCCTCGTTTTCTCTTTCTACAAGCCACTGCACAGATAAACTACGCAGATGCCTTCACAATTGTCACTAAAATCTGGGTATGTGCGCATTTTCAACAGTAGAATATTCCAACAGCTTTGTATTTCCATCGTTTGAATTAACCTGGAACTGGTGCTCCTTTCGTGCAAAGACCATTATCACATCCTGAGTTGGAGAAGGTGGTGCAGTCGGATCCTTTTGAACAAGCAGTGCCAGTTTCCCACATCGGAGCATTGGTATAGTATCCACTGCAACTTGATTATCAACTTGCGTTCAGAAAAAAAAAACGTCCGAGTGGAATGGCAAAACTAATAAAAAATCGGAATGAAAGCAGCAGGCCAGTCTTCTAACAAGAAGTTCGATAAACTAACATTCCGTTGTAAAGGCAGGTGAATATCAGCTTGTTGCTACTGCATACTTTGTAAGCACATCCAATCTTGCTTGTCTCGGAGAACACCATCTAAATCGGAAGGCCCGCTTGAAATCATGTCAGAATATTGAGCGAAAATTCGATGCAATATATTTAGAAGTATTATATGTAGTATATATGCTGATGTCATAATAAATCCAAGGCGGAAAGATAATAATCCAGAAGCGTAATGGAAATTGAACATTTATAAACTCACATTAGCAAAGTTGTAGAGGCTTGAAGTTGTGTATTTGTTACTTGGATCGGTCACACCGTACTGCTGAGCACTTCCCCACCATCTTGTAAGACTCGAACTAATCTGCGCAGCCGGGTTCGAAAACCCACCTGAGCTTGACCACCTCAAAATAAAGATATTAGGAGAAGAAACGTAATGACGGGTTCCTATGAATACCATTTCCCACAAAGAAAGTTAAGTTGTACTAGAAACACTTAAAAGGAATCTTCCACGGAAAAAGCTCCGCCCTCATTACCACAGAAAACGATACCTTAAAGGAATCTTCCACGGAAAGAGTGATCATTTTGTCTTGTGTGTAGGATTAGTATTATCGAAACTAACGCTTATGTTCCGTTCTTTTTGCTATGCTCATGAGGCTAGGGGCCTAAGGGGTATCGTTTTTCTAGGTAATGGAGGCGGAGCTTTTTCCGCGGAAGATTCCTTTAAGAAAGAAAGGCTAGCTAATGAAGGAATCTATTAGGTCGCAACGAAAGTAATGGCGGATTCGACCCTCAATTTCAAAAACTCGTATCTTTCTTTGAATTGAACTTTATTCCTAATAATAATTCCCACAAGCACTTACACCAGTCCGCCATCGGTCGACAAGGAAACAAATGCCTCTCCTTCAAAATTCGGCAGGCTTCGAGTCGAAGAAGTGCCCATGTCCGCTTTCAGCTATTGAAAGTTGTCGTAGTTGCCCATGTCCGCTTTCAGCTATTGAAAGTTGTCGTAGTTTTTATCCTTTGAGAAGTGAGCCAGGGAAAGGAGTGGGTGGTAATCCGTAGGTGCAAGACCTGGCGAACCTGGAGGATGGGGTGAAACCGCAGATCCAAGTTCCGCCAATGTGTCCTGGGTTACCCTTGCAACATGGGGTCACGCGTTGTCATGAAGAAGAAAAACTTCGTCCATCTCAGGGCGAAGTTTCGCGACTTCAACTGCGAGCCTTCGTGGTTGTGAGCAGTACACCTCGGCGTCGACGATGGTATTGTCTGGCATCTCGTAATGACGTGTTCCCCGAACTCTCCACCAAACTGACAGAGGAACTTTCTTGGGATGAACCTCCTGCTTTGGAACAGGCTCTGGCTTCTGGTTCGCACCCATTCACTGTCTTCTTCTGGTATGACATAGGTAGAGCCCCCACCTTTCATCTCCAGTAATTACATTATCCACCAGTCGAAACGGCGACTCCTTGCAAGAAAACCTCCGCACACCCCGATACCTCTTTTCTTGCAATGCTCTGTCAGCTCATGAGGGATCAATCGACCAAGTTTCTCAACTTTTTCCAGCATGTGATGAACACGACCTGTGGCCATGTTGAAGCAGTGCATCTCCTTTGCCAGCTCCATGGCGCTTGCATGCGGAAAAAGTCTTGAAGTAACAGCTCCAAACGTTCGAAATTAACTTTCGTTGGGCGTCCATCTTCGAGGTTGTAGTTTCCTTCGCGGAGCCTTCTGAACCAAAGTTGGCAGGTTTTTTCACTTACCACTCCCCCTACTTCCACAGAGCATATTTTGCGGCAGGCTTCGCTCGCTGTGTGTCCCATACAAAATTCGCAAAGAAGTCAGTGGCGTACATGGGTAGAAACTTATGGCATTTTCCAGGCTCCAAAAGGCCTGCAGGAGGTGAGACTCGGAAATATGAAGGGATGTTACCATTCCTGTATATGGTTAAAAAATTTCCCCTCCAGGTTAATGCGCAGCCGTTTGTCAGGACTTTGAAGAAATCCGCCAGGACTTTCGTTGCGACCTAATAAAATAAGTAAATGGAAGGGAAAATACTCCCAGCACCCTCTCGACTCTGTTCTATTAAGGGTTTGCGCTTCGAATTGCTCAAATTGAATTCTGGTCTAATGCTTACGTCATCATATTTTGCGCCATATTGGACCATGATCCCAAACCGCTGGGACAGCTGGCGAGAGCATCCTGAGCCTGCTGCTCCATTGTGCAATCCCATTCCTGGATGAAAGGAGTGATTATTGAACTTGTCAGCTAACGGCAACATTTTTATGTGTTCTGGTCCAGCCACCAACGGCTTGTACATGGTGATTATGTTTTTTTGGGTTTAGCTCTTCGAGACACGGAACGGAATTTTGGAAATATAACGGAGATACAAGGAAGGGAAAACACGGCGAGGTTTTTTGAAAATATGAGAGAGCAAAGTGGAAATTGCAAGCAAAGTGAATACTCAAAGACTTGAGTAGTATAGGTAGGATCCCACGAAGTGCGCAAATGTAGAGGTCTACTCGTCAACCCCCTCCATAGGAGAGAAAATGCAGTAGAGCTTACCGGATTTGAGGAGAGAAAGACTTCCTACAGCATGTATTACAGTAAACTCAGAAGCGAAAGAGAGAGCCGCAAAAGCTAACGCTGTGCTGAACGGGTTGAGTCAGCTAATCGGGAGACGGTTAGAGAGTGGGCGTGCCGTGGCGAAAGCGGCGCGGGAAAAACCTACTTGACTGCTGGACGTATACTCTTCGCTGCTCGCGTATCGTCCCTCACCCCTAGGGGCCCGCCAGCCTTTCGTCTTGGCAGTTCCCTTTCTTCGACACCGCACTTGAAGTATTTAGAATCCTCCTTTGATACAGGTGGCGTCCGCTTTTCAACAACGTTAACCCTGGAATGATGACACTGGCCCGACCACAGTTATTGGTATTGGTTTACGCAATTGGAACTGGTGGTCCAACAGGTCCAGCGCGAGGATATTTTTTCGGCCGCAAACTCAGCCCCGTGATCGGCTTGGTTAGAAACTGTTCTCCCTTGAAATTCAGATAACTTACCAGCTTGTACATGTTTTTAGCAGGGTTAAGTGTGCCAACATTGTTCGGCTCCTGTCCCTTTGCAACACGACGGCGAGCGTC